AGGGCAGCCTGTCTTCCCATTAGTGGATGGGGGACGCTAGGACCCGGGGGCAGCAGACAGCAGTTGCTGCTGGCTCTGGCAGTACAAGCAGGCAAGGGAGAGGCAGGGAAGGGGAGGCACGGGGGGCGTGCGGGGGGGGGGGCAGGTGGAGGCCGGGGACCCAGCCAACACTCCTCCGCTCCTTGACTGCCCACCCCAACTCTCCTTACCATTCTGGCTGCACGTGTTTGCAAAACACGCTGCCAGGTGGGTCGGTTTGTGTGTTACACAGGGCTGCAGACAGAGGGAGGGGGGAGCAAGGGAGGGCTCTGGCTGCTGGAGGCCAATGGGAGTGGGTCAATCGGCCCAGCCACCCAATCAGCAGCCGCACTCTGCATGGAAGGGAGGCGAGGGAGAAAAAAAGCCCGGACATTTTAACCTTGTTACCAATTCCTCCCGGACGCTATTTAGAGACGGGGTGGGGCGGGGGTTGGGGGGGAAGTTGGTGCCTATGATAGGAGCAATCTTTTACTCATGAAAGCAACACAATAGTTAAGACTGAAACTGTGAAATGGAATGCTAAACTGTATTATACTGTTTAGCCACTAGGTGGCTCCCTGTGTTACATACCTTAAGCTCACAACAGCCATTCCTTCCTGGCAGTGCATTAAAGGATTTTATAGTGAACACATCTTGTGGGTTTTTTTTGGGAAGGAAGGTTTGTAGACAGTCCATATCTGGGACAGAAGCCTGACTTGCTAGTAGCAGTCAGGCTTGTACTGAGTACAAGATGTACATGACATAGTGTCAGAAGTAAGCAAGTGCCAGAGGAGAGCGGAAACAGAGGGCACAAATAAAGGTCGTCAGATCTCATACCACTCTTCAGTGCTCCAGAGAACGTTAGCTTTGATGGAGCTGCATCATGGACAGACTGGAAGCAACATTTTGCAAGATTTCACCTTGCTACAAAATTCCACCAGGACCCTGGAGATATCCAGGTATCGTCTTTAATTTATGCTTCGGGGAAACCATTAGAGCATATCTTTAAATCCTTTGACTTTACTGAAGAGTCACAAAGATGACTATGAAAAAGAGTTTGGGCCATGTTTGATGCATACTTTATACCTCAGAGAAATATGGTTTATGAAAGAGCATGTTTTCACAAGAGAATTCAGGAACAGAGAAAATTTGAATCTTTTATAATGCATTGGCTGATAAGTGATTTTGGGAACACAAACCGTAAAAGTATCAGAGACAGGCTGGTTATTGGGTTAACTGACAAGAACCTCTCAGCAACCACAATAAAAGACAGACTTAAAACTACCCATAGTTATGTAGATAGTAAAGCACTCTGAACTAGTCAAACAGCAGAACAAAAGACAGGAGCAACCTGAAAAACCTGAAACTTGGAGGCTGTAAACATGGACAACATGAATGCTAAAAGTCATTACCATAAAAACCTTGAAGCTATAAGGGGAGTACTAGATTAACTACAAGGCATTTCAGACCTAATGCACAAGATGTGGAAAATTTCCCAGCTCAATATGTGTAGCCAGCTAAAGATGCAATAGAGAATAAATGCAAAAAATATGAACATTTTGCAGCTGTTTGCCGTACCAAAGCAGTCAGGGAGTGGATTCATATTACAGACAATCATGAGCCATTGTTTCTGGGATCTATCATGTGTGATGGCAGAGCCTGAAAAGTGAAACTGAATATTCATGCAATGACTATTTACTTTAAAACTGACTCAGGAGCAGACACAACTGTCATCTCAGAAGGGACCTGCAGTCACTTTCAACCTTTCACAGAGCTGAAGTCACCTGACATGGCCTTGAGTAGCCCCAGAGATGTTCTGAACTGCATGGGCCAGCTCACCACAGAAACAGCTTACAAAGACAAAAGCTATGCATTCAGAGTGCATGTGATCAAATGATCAAAGACCAAAAGTCTTCTCAACCGCAGTGTGGCAGCCTTAGTAAGAAAGGCAAAAGAACTTGACAGAGAATTTCATGATACTGGACTTTTGAAATGAGATCCAGCACAAATAAACTTGAGAAAATGCTGAACCATGTAGTGTACACACACCTTGCAGGATTCCTATCCTGTTGCTTCATAAAGGGGAAAATGAGTTAGAGAGACTGGAACAAATTGGCATTATCAAGAAAATCTGAGCCAACAGCATGGCGTGCCCCAGTGATATTGGTTATAAAGAATAATGGAAACATATGAATCTGTGTGGCCCCTAAAGACTTAATGAAGCAGTTGTGAAAGAAAAATATATCCTCCCAATACTGGATGACTTCCTCCTCAAAGCAAAAGGAGCTAGTCTTCTCCAAGCTGGATGCCTCAAGCAGATTCTGGCAAACTTCCTTTAGCCAAAGAGTTGTAAATTGACTCAACTTATCACACCCTTTGGGAGATTTTGCTTTTGAAGACTACCCTTTGGGATTTCCAGTGCATCTGAAATTTTCCAAAGACAAATGGCAGAACTGTTAATGAACAAATGGAGTTGTAGTTTTCATGGATTATATTTTGATATATGGGACTTTGAAGGAAGACCACAACAAAACCTTCAGTGATGTTCAAGCATAATCAGTCCGTCCAGACTGAAGCTAAACAAAGAAAAGTGTGTTTTCTGCCTACCCCAAATCAAGTTTTTTGGGACAAATATTAAACAGCAACAGAATCAGTCCAAGCCCTTACAAAGTAAAAGCAATTTGAGAATTGAACACACCAACAAATGTAGCAGAACTGAGTCCCGTACTGGGGATGGTAAATATCTTGTTCGATACCTACAAGATTTCTACAGTGTTAAAACTACTGAATGAACTGTTAAAGTCCAACACATCATGGCTATGGGGGACAAATCAAGAAATAGCCTTCAAAGGGTAAAAGAAGTGATCTTAACAGCTCTAGTTCTCAAGTAGTATGATGTGAACAAACCCACAATGGTCAGTATAGATGCAAGCAGCTATGGCCTAGGTGGCGCATTGTTTCAACAACATGGCTCCAAGTGGGAGCCAGTTGCATTTTGCCCTCGCACATTCACAAACCAGGCAGAGACAGGCATTTGGCTACCTGCGTTGCATGCTCTGAAACTGCTTATTGGTTTGGGTGAGTTCACCCAAAACAGACTGAGGGGGGAAGAGCAGGGGGAGGACTTCTCTCTCATAACTTTTAGCCCCATGGTTAGGGCACTTAGAGCAGGGAGCTACCTAAGCTAGCCAATGGGAGATGTATTTGAACCCCTGCCCCCTCTGCTCATGATTTACCCACTGATACTTTGGTTACACACATTTATTCATAATTCATAAATAGTTTCTGTGAACAATATTTTAACCTGTGCATTGGTCATCAATTAGGACTTTGCTAGTCACTATGCCCAGTTAGCAACTCCTGCTGCCTAACATGATATTGGTTTTGCTTCCTGGTTGGATCGCTCCAAAGCACAGTTTTCAGGTTTGGCGGCACCAACCTTTCCAGCCTGACTGGCTAGTCATATTCAGACCAGGATTCATAGATCCACACAATCCCACTTTCTTTTTTCGCAAACATTCTTGCAAACAAAAATTCCCCATTCAAATGGTTACGTCAGTTCCCATGTTAGGTTGCTTGACCTAGATTCACAAAGGTATTTTGAGGTGCCTAGAAAATCAAAGTCTGAGTTAGGCTCCCAGGCTATCTTTGAATGGGGAGAGACAGGTGCCTTAGACTGCGGTTCACAAAAGCCAACATGCTAGGCAGGGCGTTGCCTAAGTTAGCCAATGGGAGATGCCAACCAGAGAGGTGTCCTAAGCCCCACCCCTTTCCCGGAGATAGATGTCGGAGTCGGGGCAGCTGGGAAGCTAGTGATTCTCAGCTGTAAACCCTCTTTCGAGTTAGCTGCCTCAGGCAAATTTTGGGAAGAGGAAGATGCCAGAGAGAGACAGACAGACAGACTCACTCTCCTGATAGCTAGTACATCACCCAGGATCCAGTCTCCGTGCACCAGTGTTTCTTTAATGGTTTATCCACAGTGGCACAGCTTCAACAGGAGAGAGTTGGGAGCCCCACAAGAAATAGCCCTTAGGCCAGTGGTTGGAGCACACACCTGAGAGGTGGCAGATCCCTGTTCAAATTCCTTCTCATCAGGCTGCGGGGAGACTTGAGCTGGGGGGTCTCACATCCCAGGTGAATGCCCTAATCACTGGGCTAAGAGTTGGGGAGATCCTCCTTTCCTGCCCCTCTCACTGGCTGTTGTGCTCTGAGCACACCTACCTGACTGGGCCTGCACACAGATAAGGGGGCTAAATGCTTATCTGCCCCCAGTTAACAAATTGCTCTTGGGCTCAGGTGGGAGATAGGTCTCAAAACACCTAGAGGGAGGCAGCTTGTGCCTGTCCAGAGGCAGAAATATGCATCAAGATAATTTTACTGGAAAAAATGTAGGTGCCTAGTGAGTTGAGGCACCTACAAGGTTTAGTAGGAGTTTTGTGGGTCACAATGGAGATGAAAAGTGGGATTTAGGCCCTACATTTGGGGGTTTGATGCCCAAGTACCTTTGTGAGTCTAGGCCTTTATCCCTAGGCACAAGCTCCTTATGTTCTCATAAGAGTAGAATTTGTCTTGGTGTGGATTACGTTTGTTCGTAGCTTACGTGTTTCCAGTTGCTATCAGCAGTTTGTTATAGTCCATCTTAAATCCATCCTTGAACACAGCTATCTTGTTCTTGATGTCCACAGCCGCAACCTGCAATCAGTTCTAAATAACGTTACGGGGCAAAATCGGAGACGCTTATTGAGATACCAAAGGGTTTAGCTCCAAGTGGGCAAAGGGCTGGTCTCATCTCAGAGCACGCTGGCAGCCTCGCCTTCTGCTCTGGGCTGAGTTTTCCATGGATCACATTGCATTAGCTCATGCAACCAATTCATTCATTTGGTTTTCATCGTGAATTAGTTTGTTGCTCAAAAAAATCAGGGCGCGATTAGTACTGGTGAAAGCAAAGGAGGCGGAGACTGGAGGAGTTCTGGACAAGAGTCTCCAGGCAGCTCAGACAGACTTGCCTGCAGCACTACTTGTTATGCCAGTCGTGGGCCCATTTTGAATGGGGCAGCTATAAAATGGGCACTTGTTTCAGCGCTACATGTCGTTCAATGTTCAATTTTCATAGACATCGGTGGCTATGTCTGTGACAACCTATCATTCCCTATCCAACAGTTTGAGGAAATTACCACCCTTATTTAAGTGTACCAATTTTCTGTGGCTAAAGTAGGGTGACCAGATGTCCCGATTTGATAGGGACAGTCCTGATATTTGGGCCCTTTTCTTATATAGGCTCCTATTTACCCCCCCACCCCCGTCCTGATTTTTCACACTTGCTGTCTGGTCACCCTAGGCTAAAGGCATGTGCCTAGAGCTGTCTGTAGTATTGATTAGTGCACTGAGAAGGCACTCACAATAGGCTCTTTACCATTTTAGGGCCCTACCAAATTCATGGTCCATTTTGGTCAATTTCACGGTCACGGGGTATTTAAATTAGTCAATCTCACGTTTTCAGATGTTTACATCTGAAATTTCATGGTGTTGTAATCGTGGGGGTCCTGATCCAAAAGGGAAACAGTGGGGGGGGGGGGTCACAAATAGGGGGGTTGCAGGATTGCCACCCTCACTTCTGCCGGGGACAGTACCCAGAAGTGGGTCTGATCTCCTCCCTGAAAGCAGACATTCAGGGGAAGAAGAAGTCCTGTCTCTGCCCAGCCCAGGCCAGCTGGGACTAGTAGCCCCATTGGTTTTGGTTTGGATTGGTTCTCACGAGCCGGGGTCTTCACCCTAGGCCTCTCCCACAGCAGCCAAGCCATTAAATCCTGAGCTGTCCTGCAAGAATCATCATGATCATCTGTGTCCACGTGAAAGATACTAAGAGCAAAGAACCTTGACAATTCCAGTGTGACCACAGACAGGAACCTGATGCAGTAGGGCAACTTCTGCTGTAACACTAGTCCTGCCTTAACCCCATCTCAGGACTCTCTCTCTCTCACACACACACACCCCCACACACACACCAATGCAGCAGGAAATCTGCATTTGAGGCAGCAGATGGAAGTGGCACAGCAGCACCACTTCCTTGAACGCCCCTTCTAGATTCATAGACACCAGGGCCATGAAGGGACCAGGGTGATCATTAGTCTGACCCCTGCAGAACAAAGGCCAGAGAACTGCCCCCAAATAATTCCTAGCGTGGATCTTTTAGCAAAACAGCCAGTCTTAATTTTAAACTAGTCAGTGATGGAGCATCCATCCCGACCCTTGGTCAGTTGTTCCTTAGCACGAGCCGCATTGTCTTTGATCAGATGGTAGCTAAGCCAGCACCTGTCCTGCAAGGTCATGCAACCAGGTTTTTGTGATAAAAGTAAAGTCAGGGCTGCATCCTTAATTACACTGTGGTTGGTGGTAACTTTATAAGCTACTGACCTCACATTAAACAGCAGGAAGTGAAGAACAGGATCCCAACATGGTGAGAATTAATACAAGGAAAAAGCAATGGGTCCGGTGTTAGAGGTGAGCCGTCTGGGGTACTGATTATCTGTCTTTTATACTTGTGTATACAACACCTAGAACAATGCAACCCCGATCCGGGGCTGGGGCCTCGGCATGCTGCCGTAATACACATAAATAGAATAATAAAGTTCCTGGCCCAGGTTTATGCCCAACATACAGTTTGGTTTCCCTGTTTTGTCTCTTCTACCCAGTACCATGGGGTACGAGCTGTCCAAGCACCTCGTGGGCCTATCAGCACCCCGGCACTCAGCAGCGCTGCGTCACTCGCTGACCATACTACGGTGGCCAGCAAAGGGGCCGAGAAAGGAAACGTGAACAGGTAGGAAGACGGAGTCTGTAAAAATAACTTGACAAAAAGCAAGCAAGGCAAAGATTAGAAAATCTAGATGTACGAGAGAGTCAGGATAAGATGCCTTCAAGTGTATTAAGACAATAGTTAATGGCTTTATTGTATCGCTGACACTGACTCTGGAAAAACCACCAGCAATTTAGGAGAACCTGAGAAACTGGCTGATAAAAGAAGGCAGTTGGGTCCTGTAGGTCTGACTGGTATCCTTGGTAAAATAATACAACCAGCCTTGAGTGGAAGAGTCTAAGTCAGGGTCCAATTCCTCGAGGTGCTGGGTAATTCCTAGTGCAATGCATGGAGTGGCAGTGCTCAGTACCTAACTCCTGTAGGGTGACAGCCACGAGCAACAGACAATCTAGTTTGGAGAGAACATGTCCTGCCAGCCCGTTGGATTGCTTTTTGGAGACAATTCTAGACTCATGGGCAGATCTTGCCCCAGTGGACTCCGGGCAGTATATTGCTCTGCGGCTCAGCCCGAGTCTGGCTGTGGAGTACTATCTGCATCCTGAGCGGAGAACAAGGACTCTGCCGAAGGGGCCCTGTGCAGTGGCTTCAAAGCTGTGTAATCCCCCCGCCTATTCGGCAGCCTCCCACCCCTGGGCCCATGAGGAGCATGTTGCAGAAAGCCTCCCCAAGCCTGGGAAGTCCAGAGCAGGTCTTGGCAGCTGTGTGGGAATCCTTAAAGGACCACAGACAGCTCCAGAATAGAACTGCCAGCCAGGATGAAGTTCTCCTTCTCCCGGTAACGGTGAGCTGGGGGAGGTAAAGACCACATCAGTGCCCCTCCATCCACAGGGATCACACCCTGGACTCCCCTCCTTTTATGGCAGCTCCATGGGCCAAGGCTGCACTCCATGGAGGAGAAGGGGGACATATATGTGAGGGCTAATAGCAGCATAGGCATTGACTCCGTTGGTGCTCCAGGAATGGAGCACCCACAGAAAAAAAATAATGGGTGCTCAGCACCCACCAGCCACCCACCCATCAGCGGTTTGGCAAGATGGGGGACTCTATCCTGGGAGGCAGTGACTCTGAAAGAGACTTGGGGGTTGTGGTGGATAATCAACTGAACATGAGCTCCCAGTGCGATGTTGTGGCCAAAAGAGCTAATGCAATCCTGGGATGCATGAACCGGGGACTCACAAGTAGGAGAAGAGATATTTGGCACTGGTGAGACCACTGCTGGAACACTCTGTCCAGTATTGGTGCCCACAATTCAAGAAGGCGGTTGATAAATTGGAGAGGGGGTCAGAGAAGAGCCACAAGAATGATTAAAGGGTTAGAAATCCTGCCTTATAGTGACATATTCGAAGAGTTCATTCTATTCAGTTTAACAAAGAGGGAGTTAAGGGGTGATTTGGTTACAGTCTATCAGTATCTACATGGGGAACAAATATTTAACAATGGGGTCTTCACTCTAGCAGAGAAAAGTATAACACGATCCAATAGCTGGAAGCTGAAGCTAGACAAATTCAGACTGGAAATAAGGGGTAAATTTTTAATGATGAGAGTAATTAACCACTGGAACCATTTACCAAGGGTCATGGTGGCTTTTCCATCACTGATAATTTTTAAATCAAGGTTGGATTTTTTTTCCTGAGTGATCTGCTCTAGGAGTTATTTTGGGGCAGTTCTCTGGCTTGTGTTATGTAGGAGGTCAGACTAGATTGGTCCCTTCTGGCCTAGGGATCTATGAACGTGTTGTAGCTCAGGGATCAGTTTGGTATTTTTGCCATGGTTTTAGCTGGGACCATTCACGTATAAACATTTTATTTCTAGGCTCCTGCCTCCACTACTGAGAAACAAGAGCTGGCTCGGCTGCCAGACTGGTGTAATAAAATAGCAAGTACATGCCTTTCAGGCTGCCACAGGTTGTTTTCTTTCAAAGGCTCTTGAGATCTGTTCTCCTGGCTTCTACCTGAGATTTCAAACTTGGCTGCTGCAGAAACGTGCAGTTCTACAGCTAGGTATCTCCCATGTTCCCTATCTATTTTATTGCTGAGTTTTCTATCTCAATACACTCCCCATTCGTTTGTTTAATCAAGATGTGTATCATCTGTCATCTCGTTAAAAGCCAGTTAATTCAATTAATCAGATACGTTTTACTTAAAGGAAGTGGCAACTCTTTGCTGAGTCTAGAAAGACTTTTCCACTAATCCCCTACCCTCTCCGTTTGGACAGTAGCTGCATTCGCTTTTTCCACAAAGTGCTTTTACTTCTTTAGTTTTAAGGGATTTCCCCTCCCCCCCCCCAGTATTGGGTCTTCCAAGTCTTGCTGTCAGTTGTCTTAATTTCTCTCCATCTGTGCAGACCTTGCATCATTTTAGTTGCCCTTCCTTAAATCCCTAAAGGTCACCTGAGGTAGTGAAGAGAGCCCGGTGTGGTCAGGAGAGAGATGCTTTTGAACAATCGCTGCTAAATTAAAGCGAGTTAGGCCAGCTGTCAGAGTCCACAATGCACAGGGAGAGTTGGGTGCTAAGAATGGGAGCTACAAAAGCCAGCATGCTGAGCAGACAGCCGCATAAACCAGCCAATAGGAAATGCCAAGAAGAGGGGTGGGGCCTAAG